AAACTGTTTTTATCTCAACCCACAAGTTTCTTTCTCACATTTACCCTTCTGATTGTCCCCACCATCCTACCGAGGGGAGTAGCGGGCAAGCGGCAGCGTGGTGTTTAGTTGCCAGCTGGGGTTAAACCACGGCAACTTCTCCTCCCTGCCCGCTGCTCAGTGCATTGCAACAGCATTGCTTCGTCTCTGGCATCTAACCTAGAAGCTGATCCTGTATTTCCCACTCTACGGTGATGAGACATGATAACGCTTTTAAATCCTGACTTCTTTTAAAGTTTGCCAAGACTGGAGCATCTAATTTAAATAACCAGCCTCTCAAATGGAAGGAGATTTTTAAAGAGGCAGTTAAACATGCAACGGGCCGGAGGGGGACAAAGCAAAGTCTAGTGGGGCAGGTGACAAACTCGATCTTCTGAGGCTTGGAGGCTGTTCTCCTCTCTGCATAGCCGAGTCTGCTGCGTGACCTTAGGCAAGCCCCTGAAGTTTTTTGCACTTGGTTTTTCTTCCCAACTTTAATCCTGTCGAACTGGAATGGTGGCAGTGGCTCCATACAGGCATTTTGTGTATGTTACTCCCCACCAATTTCACCAGGGCCTACAGACATCACAGGCTGCAGGCAGCTTCATGCCACAGCCTTCCCCCACCCCTGGTCTCCTGATTGCTCACATCTCAGGACCTGCTGAGCATCCGGGTGCTCCCTGCCCGTCTGCACATCCAATTTCCTTCTGAGGAGAACCAAGCCATGAAGAAAAGGTCAAAAAAGGTACACAGCCGTCTTTCATCCTGATGTGGAGTCAGGATGAACCTAAGGTGTTAGGAAGCGCTCCTCTTGGGTGGACCTTTCAATGGTATCACTACGCAATCTTTTAGCCCTACATTGTCTCCTGCTATGTGTTTATATGGTCTGTAGCACCAGAGATCTACTACCTGCAGCCTAGGTACTACTAGGTACTACTACAACTAATAAAAACTAACACACAAAGCAGAAATTCACGTATCTGCAGAAATCCCACTGGATTTAAGCAGTAAAGTTGTGAATTTCTGTCTCTGCATATGTTTAGTAGTTTCAGTTAATGAATTTTTATTTTTTTTTTAAAGTCTTGCAGCCATAATTGTATTAGGACGCAATGGTTACGCAATGTAACTGTTTTACATGTGTCCCAGAGCTCCCACAAAGAGCAGTAATTCCTGTTACTCTTTAACTAGCAAGAGACTTTGAAATGTCTCATTCTGACAAAGGTCAGGAGCCAAGTTCTCCTCTAATAAATGCTAGGTTAATGGAGATCAAAAGGATTTGTTAGCAGGCCAGCCTCAGCAAGAGAGAAATAAGTTTAATTTCCATAATTATTGGGTAATTAATCAAATCGTCTGTATATAGAAACTAGAAGAGTGTGTGCCGCCTCCTAGTCACAGGTATATGCTGACTGCTGTAGGGAATGCGGTTCATACTCTCACCATTACTGCACCCAGCACAGAAACCACGCATCCAGAAGGTATATCTGCCAATTTATTTTGTGGATGACAAGCTAGTAATATGCACTGAAAATGTCATTAATTACCTATTTTTGGTTTATTTCGCAGTATTATTCCACTGTGTTACGATGGAAGTTACAGGTTTCACCATGCTACTTGCTACAAAACGTAGAACCGAATTTTTCAAAAATTGCTGACAAGAAGCTTAAGGAATCCCTGGGCAACTTGTCAACTCACAGCAAGAAAGATTTACAAGGATCTACACAGCAAGTAGCTACGCTGCAGGGGCAAGGCGGGGAAGAAACCAGGCTGCATCTACAAAGTCACGTTCACAGACAGCCCGTCTGTTCCAAGGCACTCACTTTGCAGGACTAGTTACATATACGCTACTCAAACCAAGTGGAATCAGCTGCACCAGCCTAAAAGACTTTGAACTTTGGTAACGAATATTCTTTTTTTACAGTTTATGCAGATGAAAAAAAAAACCAAAAAGGATCATATAGTAAACACCATGTTCTGGTGTCCTAAACTACCTATTATGCCTGCCTAAGTAGTAGCTCTGAAAGGCCCATCCAAGTAAAGATTAGGACTTGTGCTCCTTCTTCCTACTGAACAGCCACGGAACAAATCCTTATCCGAGGGCTGGAGCACCTCTCTTATGAGGACAGGCTGAGAGAGTTGGGGTTGTTCAGCCTGGAGAAGAGGAGGCTTCGAGGTGACCTCATTGCGGCCTTCCAATACCTGAAGGTGGCCTATATGAGAGATGGGGACAGACGTTTTAGCAGGGTCTGCTGTGACAGGACAAGGGTAATGGTTTTAAACTAGAAGAGGGTAGATTTAGACCAGACATAAGGAAAAAAATTTTTACAATGAGGGTGGTGAAGCAGTGGAACAGGTTGCCCAGAGAGGTGGTGGAAGCCTCATCCCTGGAGGCGTTCAAGGTCAGGCTGGATGGGGCTCTGAGCAACCTTATCTAGTTGGAGATGTCCCTGCTCACCGCAGGGGGGTTGGACTAGATGACCTCTAAAGGTCCCTTCCAGCCCGAATGATTCTATGATTCCTGACAGTTGTTCATAAGAAAAGCAAGCAAACGCATGAAACTTCACCAAAACCTTATAATCTAGGGAAAATCATGTCTGAGTAAGAACTGCAAGAGGAGGGAACTATAGTGCAGGACTCTGGGCACCTTCGGCTTCCTACAAGTTACGTTACAAAACCAGAAACACCACCGCCTTCTTGCACGCTCTCCAATCTCCAGCTACCCCAGCACCGGTCTAGGTCTGAGGACATTTTAGGCCAGATTTAAATATGCCTGTTGTCAACACCACTAGGAAACTTCTGAGGACGAATAAATATGCCAGATGCATTACTGTCCAAGGCAGAGTCTTCTATGCTAGAGGCTGGAGGGACACACATATAATCAATGTGCACAGCTTACCTATGCATATGTTAATCAATAGTTTGGGGAAAAAGGGCATGGAGTGATAGGACAAGGGGCAATGGCTTTAAACCGGAAGGGGGAAGATTTAGATGAGATATTAGGAAGAAATTCTTCCCGGTGAGGGTGGTGAGGCAGTGGCACAGGTTGCCCAGAGAAGCTGTGGCTGCCCCATCCCTGGAAGTGTTGAAGGCCAGGTTGGATGGGGCTTTGAGCAACCTCGTCTGGTGGAAGGTGTCCCTGCCCGTGGCAGGGGGTTTGGAACTGGATGAGCTTTACGGTCCCTTCCAACCCAAACCATTCTGTGATTCTGTGAAAAATATATTTAGTACTTAGTTAAAGGAAAAGCTGACTAAGAAGACACCTCTGAGTCTACTCTCTTTACGTTTACTAAGCTGCGCTCAATAAGGGATTGTGCTAGGGTTTTGCTTTGTAGAATCCATAAATAACGTTAAAGATAATTTGCTTTTACTGTAAAAGCAAACACGCTTTTCTGTAACTTTCACAGGACGGCTTAGAACAAGAAGCTCATTTAAAGATACTTAGTTGGCATCTTCATCCAATGGTCAACAACAGAGTTTTTGTTGGAGACTGGCTATTCACATTTCTCATACAAGTTAATAAGAGTTTTCTTGAGAGGATCTGTTCCAAATCTTTATGGCTGATTCAAATAAAATAGTACGACAGTATTAATACATGTTTGATTATAGAGAACTGTGTACTCCTACCTGGACAACTCATAAATGCTGCAGCAGTACAGAGAAATGTTCCCCGAAGTACTCTACAATAAAAAGCAAAGGAAACAGTATTTACCAGCAAACTATCTTTAAATAAGCACTTATAAGTGTATATTTATCCTTTATACCTTAAAATATACACATATACTATTTTTCAATATACACTTAGGTGCAATGGGGAAAAACTGTGAGAAACATTTTTAATTTTAATTTACTGAGGTACCTCTCCTGATCCCCTCCAGAGAGGTTCTGATCTATCAAGGCATGCAACTGCCCCATTTTAAAATACATTTACTTTACATTCAGGTGCTTCAATGTCATAAGAAAAGAAGGCCAAAGTACTAAGCTCAAAAGAAGAACGTCTCAGTCCAGAATTGCCTTACTGGTAAGACAGAGGCATAAAAGCAGAATGACTTGTTTGCTCAGTTATGCCTGCATTGCATGATTAACCACACCAGATCATTCCACGACGCAGGAAACATACCTGCAACATTTTTCCTCCTGAAATCCCTGGGACTGGCTCCTCGCAATAAGGCAGACCGTGTTCTGCAAAAAATTCCTTCAGCGCTTGCTCACTGACGTCCACACCAACAACGCTGTGTCCCATGTCCGCCAGCCTGCACACAGCAGAGAGAGGGCCCAAGTTTATGTGAGGCCCACAGGCTGGGCCATTACCAAACGTGTATCATCTCCCATCCAGCATTTATTCATTACAGAAACCCTGGGTTTAGGATACACTGGTACGTCTAGTCCTGACTTTCTGGAGCGTTCACATTTTATTGAACATCACCCCTCCATGACCTGAGCTTAAATTAGCACCACTCGGCACACAGTTAGTTGACAAGGACCGACAACCTTTTTTTAGACTCAGTAGCTTATTCATTTATTTCTATGAAGTGGATGAAAACAAAGGTGATTACACAGAGAAACTGTCCATTTCAGTTTACAGAAACACGTTCTGCTCTGAACGGCGCCAGCCAAGGCACGCTGTCCACCCAGCTGCCTCTGTGGCTTGGCCGGCAGAAAGCGCTGGCTCGCCGTCACC